TGTCATGCTTAAATCCTGCATTATTCTGCACTCTTTGTATTTCCCTTCACTAAAGGTCTGGATGTCCATCCTGTTGGCATTCGGCCTTTAAACCACCTTGAAGTTGAAAACAGTCAATGAGTAGCCTGTAATTGCTTGTTCAACAGTTTTCAGAACACCAAGTAAACAGTCTTGGTATGCTGATGGCTAGACTGATGGTTTCATGATACGTTCTGAGAGCCCTTAAAGGTTTCATGCTACAATTTGAGTACTCCTTGACCCATTAACCCATATGCTGTAAAGGCAACAGGAGGGATGGAAGAAAATGGCTTTTCGATTTATTCAAAATATTGCCCATTTTCAAATGGAAATTATATATATATCATATGTGTCTGTATGTGTGCAGTTTACTCTTTAGGAGTTTAGGGATGGTTAGACATTTTCTGACTTCTTTGGTGCAGCACTGCAATTTTAATTTCTGCTCATAATCAAACATATTTATCTTTTAACTTTCTATTTCTATTTAAAAAAATCTCTATTACATGTAGATTTTATTATTATCCTACAAATGTGCAATTTTTATTCAGATTCCCCAAAAAATCTAGCTGCTTAACAAACAGAACTAACTAGTTATTTTTTTTATAATGAATCCCTGTTCTTGTTTATTTATAGTGATTCATAGTTTGGTTAATAAAACATCCAAAGCACCACAGTGCCCCCTCTGTTGACTCTTTACGTGTCTCCTAAAAACATACATTTATATCATGGCGTTTGAATCCTCTGGACCTGAATGTATTTTTTCTCTTCCTTGTCTCTATATTCCTATAACTGCTGTGATTCTATTTTTTCATTTCATGCATTGTATTTCAATCAGCTGCTGCTTTTCAAAAGTGTTTTATGAGATCATTTGATTTGATATTGATGTCAAATATAACTCAAAAGTAGAGTAAATTCTCACATCTGAGAAGCTCAATTCTACTCACTTACTGGTGCAGACTGAATAAGTCAACAAACCATTTCAGCCCCCACAGAATGTCTGTGATGTGTTTTCACCATGCAGGTTAGGGGAAAGAAGGAGGAAGTTGTAACATGTAAAATATCCGGCCTGTGCTGCTTCAGTGAGCTTTTGACCTGATAAGGAGACAGTGTGAACCCTGCAGGCAGAAAGGTTACTGAGGGGTCAGAGTTTTTTTTTACACAGGGGCAGCCGGTCAGGTTATCAGAGCTTGTCAACAGACCATGAAATAATGATTCAAACTGTGGAATCTCCTCTGATGTGAGTCATAAACTGATTACCTGGATTTTAAGTTGTTTGAGAGACTGCCTATGTTAGAAAAAATAATCTTAAACTGGATGTTTAGTACAGAGCGTGATAAAGTGGTGAACTATCTGACCTTAAATTATTCATTTAATCTAAAAGAAGAGATTCAACTATATGATTTATGTAGAGTATTTATTTTGTAAACCTTGAGAGTTCAATAAAGATTCAACTTTCATGTGCTGCTGAGTGCATGTGTGTGTGTGTGTGTGTGTGTGTGTGTGTGTGTGTGGCAGAACATGTGTGTGGAGGGGTCATCTTGCTTTACCGTGGAATTGATGGGTGGGTAAGGTCAGGAGTCAAACCGCCAGATCTATTTGAAGCAGAGACACCCCTCAAAATCCTTAACTCCTGTTCCTATCCTCAACGTTTACCTTCAGGTTCTGGAAAGCTCAAACTTTCTGCTTCACGTCAGCAACAAACAACTGCTCATTTATAAAACAAGAGCTTGTTCCAGTAGAGTCCAGTTTATACACATGTGCCATTTCACAGAGCAAGCGCCTTACTTGCCTCCTACACACAGCAGTAGTTTCATTCATTCATTTCATCCAATACCAAAGTGTTCTCCTCCTTTCCTTTCCACTGAGAAACTTCAATTATTCATGAGGGATCACAGCACCCACAATGACTCATGTTTCCACTCCTACAACCCAACACCAGCAAGCTGATACACAGTTCACAATACTTCAAGTCACAGAATAACAAGGGAGTCACTTTTCAGCTCATGCATTCCTACACACACACATGCATAGACACACAAACACTACAGTACATGTGGGAATGTGATTGAATTGACACCTCATAATACGTTTTTTGCAACTTAGTGTTTGTTGTGACAGCAGGTGGAAGCAAGTATCTGCATCATGCAGAGAAATTAACAATTAACAATATCACTTTCTCATTAAAAGTTAGTGAAAAAGATCCAGAGGCCTGTATCAGTTTACATATAAGCCTCACCAGCTCAGCCTGACAAAGACCCTCCTTGTGTCTTGCATGAGATGTTGACAACAGTGTGTCAGGTTTATCAGGCAGCAGTAAAGAAAGAAACTAAACCTTTGTGTTTTTTGGGGAACATTTCAGTCACACCAGCTCTCTGTCTCTTTAAATCTCTTTGTCTTTCACACCCGGGCCCAGCTACACACAGCCACTCAAATCAAATCAAAAAAAATCCCCAAGGACCCTTCTCTCGGACGGGGGAGTGCCCCATCTCTTTCTCTCTGGGACGGCTACCGGCTGAGTGTAATAAAGGCCTTTGTTAAGCTGCCCTGCTGCAAATCTCTGTTGTTGGAGCACAATGGGAAGGAGCACCAAAATGTGAAATACAGGTAGCAGAAAATACATTATCAAATCACAAAGATGAGATATTGATTCTAGTATGAGCAAAAACTAAGTGACAAAAAGATAGAAGTGATGACATGAGCTCAGGCAGTGTGTGGTTGTCAAAATGCTCCACGAAAAGGAAGATGTTTGGAGCATGTTTGCCCTCAGCTTACCTGGAGTGGTACAATAAAGATAAAGATTCAAATGTCATGAGTTTTTATTGTACAGAGTCGTTGTCCAGTCACACTGGTAAAACAAGTGCACATCTGCTTGGATACTGTATACAGTGTCCTAACAACAGTACATTTAAAGTGACAGCTAACTTTGTTCAGTTAGCTATCATCAGAGAAGTGCAGTTAAGTTTCAACAAACTTGATTTGAAGTGAGTAAAAGACTCCTTTATTGATAAAATGTCATACTGGTTTTGGTAAGAAAACAATGTCAGTCCTTATTGAATCATATCACTTACTTCTGTCACTTTGAAACCACGTTGTAAGCTCCCTCACAAAATCTTGCCACTTTCATCAGAAAAGTAGTCCCTCAGGCACAAAATGTCCATGGCGCAGGGAGGGCACGTGGAAGTAAGAGACAGTCCCAGTAGTGCTGTTTCAGGCAAAGACCATGTCCCCAACAACTTCATTGGTGTGGGCAAGTACCCACCACTACATCAAGCAGGGTGCCTATTCAAATGACTACTACAAATGTGGATCCAGTGGAGTCTGGAAAACCTGGTATGGATTTTCAGACTGGACTACTTTTCCACAGTAGAGTCAAAGCGATGGTTTTCTTAATCAATCCACCTTCTTTATTCAAAATGCAGGAACAAAAAGAGAACATAAACTGACATTTTTGAAAATACATTTGTTTTGAATAGCGACAAAACTCCCATAAGCTGCAATTTACCTCCCTTATGATAAGGTATCATAATATCCTGATTTTTGTCTTTATTAAGATTCATTTTAGATTAGATAACAGTCTGCAGCCATCAATTTGAACAGTAGACTTTTTAAATCAAACTAAAATGAAGAGGTCCCAAATTCCTCTCCTGACGTTCCATCAAATTTCAGATAAGAACTCTTGAAGCTTTTGTTTTAAAGGCTTCTTCTTCTCATTTTCTCAGTAGGTTTCAATCACAGGAAGCCACATCAAAATGTAAATTTGAATAGTTGAAAATAATGTAAAAAGGTTAACTTCCAAGCTGCTGCTCTTTATATCTCCAGTCGAACACTGTTCACTGATTATCCTTGATGGACTTGACATTTGCAAAAATACTACATTATCATCTGCGTAGGTATATATTTATTTAAAGACATGATTAACCTCTTCAACAACATAATTGATTCTGTGATCTCCTACTTCACAGACTTTACTTTTCCTCCCCCTGCTCTCCGTCTCAGCCGTGGTTTCCCTCCCACCCCTCCTCTCAGTGACAGTTCAAAGTCTGGCAGCAACAGAAATGCACCTTACAGTTTAAACCAGCCCACCAATCACGAGGCTCCTCGGCCGTAACAGTCGCTAGTAACATTTGCACAACAAAAGAAGGGCTAGCTGATTCATCAACCACTCCCCCCCCCTTTCCTTCACTCCCTTTCCCTTCCACTTTGACTCCTCCTCTCCTCCCTTTGTGCTTGCATCCAAAATCCCCTTCTACCCCTGTGACCTCCTCCTCATTTGCACTAATCTCCTTGCACCCACTCGATTCACTGCCTCAGTTCTACCTCTAGCTGCACCGAGACCCCCTCACCCTGCACCCCACAGGACACTCATTCGCAGATCCTCCTTCTCCTCCTCCTCTGTCTTGCATGGATAAAAATCACAGCACATGAAGCACAAGGTGTAATTCTATCTGTGGACTTATGCTGCAAAACAATAACAACTATCACATGAGCATTATCTTGGATACACATGAAATGTACTTCTTCAGCGGGCTTGGTAATGCACCCATTTGATAAAAATTAACAACAAAAATCATGCTTTTTTTCTCTCTTGTTCTGTGTTTTTACTCATTTAAACAATAAAGATGTACTCTTTATAAAACATAGGCCAGTTCCAAGGCTTTGCCCCTTTTCGGCTCTATTTAAGTGCTCAGATAGTCTAATAACCTGGTCAAATTACGACGAAGAGGGCCCTTTTTATTGGTACTTACAAACCCCCACACATACATGTAAGGCTCCCATGGGGTTTGTGGGCAGTCAATATAGGGTTTAGGTTTTGCTTTGTATTTCACAATTGCTGTTTCTATAGCAACAGGGAGAGGGACAAGTGGTCCCCCCACCCATTTGGAACACGATTAACATACCCCACCCCATCTTGTGTTTAGTGGGATGTCCCATAGACACATGCATATACCAACAGAGGAGGTATATAAAGGCCAAAGGATTAGTCAGGGTTTTAGGTGGACTTTTTAATCATTTTAAACTTCTCGACAGCTAAATACAGTAAAAAATAAACAATAAACCCAATGCAACAACAGTAACGAGGAATGTGAAGGAAATTTGACTTCTCTTTGTATGTGCTATCAGGATCATTTAAGTGTTTTCACAGCATCAAATACCACATCTTTAACAAGAAACTGAGTGATGGATGGCATTTTTTAAAACTGTAAAAAGACATTTGAACTCTTTTGTTGAAAATAACACCTAAAAAAGGTTAAAGAAATTACAAAATGCGCTGTCATTCAACAATTGTCTTTGTCTTTCATCAAGTTCTCTTAAAGATTCTCCCCATCAGTCTGAAGAAAGAGCCGTCCCTGATGGCCTTGGAGAGCCTCTCCCATAGGCTTTCCTGCTTCCACAGGCCCCGCCCCCTCCTCTCAGCTTTGACCTCTGCTCTGTGCAGCCGTTTGTGGAGACGCCAATAGAGGCGAGAGTCCGGCAAGACTCCGACAACTGGCGCAGTGCGAGCCAGGCCGAGTCTGAGGACCTCTTCATTCATGCAGCAGCTCCTCATCAACCCCTGCTGGAGAGAGGTGGGAAGACAAGGAAGAAATACACACTCATATACTGTATACATATACAAACTATTTTCAAGTATATCATTTTAAGACTTTTTACAAAAAACTATTGTTGTCTAGAACTATCTTATGGCTGTCTTTGTCTGAGTTATCAGATGCTCACCCTGCTTTGAGACACCAAACAGTGCAGTGTCTCATTCTCTCTGCTGATAAGTTTTAGCCAGACTGTTTGTGTAGGAGTCAGGTTTTTCTGCAGCCATGCCCTGCCTTCTGGAGTGAGCTCCACTCCTGCAAGATGCACAAGTATCGGAGACTTGCACACACCTGACGAGGATGAAAATAATGTACATTTATTATATGTCTAGCAGTGAAGGTTGATGCTGACCGCTGGAGTTTCTTCGTCACCTGAATAACACGAGCATCAACATACAAACTCTGCTGAACACTGACAATGATGAGAAGTGGGTTTGACTAAATATGATTATCTGGTGTATTCAAAGTGAATAAAAGGAGCAACATTTTTCAGGTGTTAATTGCTGTTGCTGTGAAAAAGTGTGTTCTTCCTAAAAGAGTCTGGAGTTTATTTCAAATCAGGGATAGTCACAGACTTCAAACATTCTAATAAATAATATATTCATTTACAAAGCTCATACAAGCTTATCTCATCTATGAAAATTATGCTTGTAATTCATGTTTGTGAAACAGATAAACTCCTGAGAAATGGGTCTGACCTGGCTGAAAATGTTGGAGGTCAAGACTAAAGTAATATTTGCAATTGCTTGACAAGAAACTAATCTGTTCACTCTTGACCTTCATACGAGAGGTGCTGATGGAGCACTCTATACAAAGCACAGGCATGAATACCATAATTGATAACACAGCTAAAAAGATTACATGTCACTCTCACTTATGAGAAGATGATCAAATAAAAAACAGTCTGACTGTACAAAATAAAAATGAAACTGAGGATAATAAGATTTAAAAAATAAAAATAGAGTCAGGAGGGATTTGTGTTACTAACGCTCAGGAGGTCATTCTCAACAAGCTGCTTTTTCATAAATGTTTGTTTGAATGTGTGTGTTTGTGAATGTGTGCATGCCCTCATGATTTCTCCCCAGATTACCTTTGTGTTTCGAAAGTAACGGAGAGAGGATCGGGAGATGAATTGGGACGTGTTCCACTTCGAGCCCTTTCTCTGAGACTGAATGAACTTTTCCACGAAGGCTGACGTTCCTCTCAATAAAACGAGCAGGGATCTCGGATGCAACTTGGAATTTAGTGATCTAAACAAGTGGAATGAGAAAAACAACTGACTTATTACTCATTATTCTGTGTTGTACTGTGGTAAAATAGTATTCATGTTTTTTATTCAAATCCTGAAAGTCTATCGTACGAGAAAACAAGATTTGGAATTAACATAGTCCATATGGGGTCAAGGTTTAGGCCTGCAGGAATGGATTAATGTGCCAATCTGCCCATGAGAGTGCAGGAATAGAACAGAAACTAACTGGGGAAGCTGTTACTCTATGCATGGACTTGGAAACATAAAATACAAACAGTTTTTTTTAGATGTTAGCAGACACTGTTACATATCACAACCTCAGAGTGTCACTGTGAGTCATTGTGTATTTTTCTCCCTTACCAGTTTGATACTCCTCGCTATTACAATGACACCAATGACTGCCAGTCCAGTGCTTATATTCTGTATAAGAGACAAGAAAGCAATGAGGGGTTAAGGATATCATCATTCATTTCCATCTATAAATGACCATAATCACAGCAAAAGTTTTATATACAATTTTACACATCTATATAAACTCGACTTATTTTTTTCTTTTCTTTTTTTCAGATACCCGACATTAATCTTTGCAACTGACTGAGCTGAATTCTTGTGTTGAAGAGGGAAATTTAGAAAGACTTTACCAAAAGGTTATAATGACACAAATTTTAAAACTTGTAAGGGATACCTCACAGGATTTTTTTTTTTTTAATGATACAAGATGGTAGAGATGAACGAGCCAGGATAATAAAAGCCAGGATTGTTGATTATTTTTTCTTAAATGCTGATGTTCAACCCTAAGGGTACTTTGTTTAATTAAATTGTAAAATATTGATAAAGTTTGCTGTTCAAGCTGCAAAAGAGAAAAAAAAATGATGAATGAAATTAATGTTGAATAACACAAACTAAAGATGTTCACCCACTTTGATAGCCTTTATTTATGTCTGAAGTCAAAGAAACTCTCTTTCCCTAAATCTAAGGGCCTCAGTTTCAGAGTAAAACATTTGGCAGGCTAGAAACGGGTATTTCAACATTTGAGCCAGGGAAACATTTGATGAATATTTTACGTGGGAAAATAAGTTTTAAGAATACAAACCCTTATTGAAATGTTTGCTTAATGTCTCATATTAATTTAGAGGTGGCACATGGGCCCAGATAAGCTCCCCTGCCTGCTATCGACCAAAATTGGAGGTGCAGATGTCTCTCCTATACTGTGGCAGGGAAGTGACCATATTTGCTTCCATATTGCCATATGCACCACAGGATTTTCACACAAAGGAGTCTCCTACCCGCACAAGTGTTAAATTATCATCTGCAATCTGTGATATTAATGACACGATGTTTTGAGACGACGGGCTTCCTTGATCTCTTTGTTGTCTGTCTTTCGTTCCCTCTTCCGTTTCTGTGTCTCTGGAAGACTCCGGCATGTTGTTGACATTTTCTCTCGACGCAATCTGACGCTCCGCCTGTTAGGGAGGGACGCACACTGGTGTGAAGTCTCCGCCCTGTGGCTTGCTGTGGAAATGACAGGATGGCGTTGATGTGTGCCTGAAAACGTAAAGTTTACGTGAGTTATAAAACCACTACAAACATGCCATAATTTGCGTTAAAACACCTTAAATAAAAAGTTATGATCCATTTTTTAGCCCTCGAAACAAATTTTTATTCATGCACATTGCAGCAGATTCACAGGTTCAATTTGACAGCTGGAAACATCTTTGTCTGCATAACTTGGCCTAAATAAATTTATAAATAAATAAGACAACACAAAAAGAAATTGACTCAGTCAGAAAACAGAGTTGTCTTAAAATGTATAAGTGGGACTGCTGACTAAATTTAGGCTTATATTAATTTTTTTAAAGATCCATAATTTCATAAATAGGCTTATATAATTTTTTTTAAAGATCCATAATTTCATAAACAGGCTTATATTAATTTTTTTAAAGATTCATAATTTCATAAATAGGCTTATATTATTTTTTTAAAGATCCATAATTTCATAAATAGACTTATATTCATTTTTTTAAATGTCCATAATTTCATAAATAAGATTATATACATTTTTTTAATATCCATAATTTCATAAATAAGATTATATTATTTTTTTTAAATGTCCATAATTTCATAAATAGGCTTATATACTTTTTTTAAATATCCATAATTTCATAAATAAGCTTATATATTTTTTTTTAAATATCCATAATTTTATAAATAAGCTTATATTATTTTTTTTAAAGAGCCATAATTTCATAAATAAGCCCTATATTATTCACCCAGTGCAATGCAGCAGATGTTGCACAGTGAAACATGTTTAGAAACAGACCTCACTGAAAGCACCGACCGCTGACTGACTGTATGACAGATGCACTGGAGGAGCTCTCATCTTGTAAACTGTGAAGTCATGGAGCTTACTTGAAGACGGATGACGCCCCCATTACCGCCAAATTGGCCAATAGGAGTCGAGAGGCAGAGTTGTCCTCCTGGCCGCCATTAAAGAATTCAATCCATGAACTGAAATAATGGAAATCTGCTGGACCCATGGACCAGGCAGAGGGAAAAGTAGCCGATGAGTAGCCTCGGTTTTTGTTTCGGCTTTTCAGTGAAGAGTGGATGTTAGTATGACGGAGCTCTGCGGGAGTTTTAGCGGAAGTGAGGGCGGTGTAGCTAATTGTTTTATTTAGGTAGCTTGTAGCGTTGGAGCTCTGGTATGTTAGCTTTTGTGCTAGCAGGCTAGGAGAGACCAGGGGGAGGGGAGAGAGTTCCTTTGCTTTGAAATTGTTTCAGATCAGCTAGCTTGCATTAGCATTAGCATACCAGGGGGACTAAGCTTTTTTTTTTTTTTTTTTTTTAAGGGGGTGAAGTTTGTTTTTTTTTTATTTTTTTTTAGTTATCCAGCTCGTATTTTATTATTTTTTTATTGCGCATATAACTTTTCTTTTGTTTGGTGTTCGTTGCTCCAATCCAGGTGATATTAATTAACGGGCAGAGTGTTTTTTTTTTTTTTTTCTTAACAATGTTCAGGTTGTGAAGCCAGCCAAGCTTTTGCTGCTAGGCTAAGCCACATCAGACAATACAATTACAAAAAAAAAAAAAAAAATTGATGAATTTGCTAGAAAAGCTTAACCCAGTTGACGCTTTCTTGACTCCCCCCCTGTCTGAGGTTAGCTTAGCTTATAAGCTAGTGGTGGCTAAGCGCCGGCTGGAAGTTGTCTTGTTTGACTAGCGGTAGCTTGTTGTAGCTTTTTAACGGGATACTACAACTCAACAAGGCTTTAAGAAGATCAGCTCCCCCCCTCTCCTCTCGATGGTGATTGAGACAATGGACTTTAACGTGACAACAACGCAGTGAAAAAGGATGAGTTCGTGCTTTGTACCAAACGGGGCCAGTTTGGAGGATTGCCACTCCAACCTTTTCTGCCTGGTGAGTTGCTCCCTGCGCTAGTTAGCGTTAGCTCCGATACTGAGAGAGGCCAGAAAGCCATTTTGGCTAATCAGGGCAACAAGCTTTGTAACGTCAGTTTGCAGACTGGCGTGAAGGCATCGGGCCTGCAACTTGCTAAAAAAAAAAAAAATCGTAATCAAGCGAAGTGCCACAACTAAACACATAATGCGGGGTTAAACAGCTGTTAAATAAATCATGATTGTGACAGTGTGTTAGTCTCATTGGTGTCTTGAGTAGTCTTAATGTGAGGTACTAGATGGTAACAGGGCAGCAGCATTATTGCAAACTCATCAAAACAGCTTTTAATTCTAACATTAGAAGTGTTTTAATAAGAAGTCAGGTTGCAGAGTTGGTGTCATATATTTTTTTTTTTTTAAATAACTAACCCCAGACTGCTGACTGAGTAAAGCTGTGGTGCTTCACTGGTTGATAAAAAAAAAAGAAAGTGCTGAGTGAATTAACTTGGTGACAGTTTGCTTTTCAGTCGTGCTTGTGGTGACACATCTTCCAAGATGTTTTCTCAACTTTCATGTCAGAGAGAATATCACTTTTCAACTTTTTTTTCTTTCATTGAGACTTATTTTTTCTGTGTGACAGAGCGGAGCAGCCTTTCAGTTTCACTTTGGTGTGTTTTGCATGTAGAGAGAGAGAGAGAGGAGTAAGCACCACACTGAGTTATGCAGTCAACAACAGTGGATTGGCTTAATGTTGTGCAGCTATGGTGTGTGTAAAGTCTCACCTTGTTTTTCTCTTGTTTTTTTTTTTTTTTAGGCTGATTTGACTGGAATAAAATGGCGACGATTTGTGTGGCAAGGACCCACCTCTTCGCCCATCCTTTTCCCTGTGACCGAGGAGGACCCTATCTTGTGTAGTTTCAGCCGATGCTTGGCGGCAGATGTGCTGAGCGTGTGGAGAAGGCACCACACCCCGGGTCGCAGAGAGCTCTGGCTTTTCTGGTGGGGCGACGACCCCAGTTTTGCTGAGCTTATCCACAATGAGCTCTCGAGTAAGTGATTCTCATAAAATCCAAATCTGATTACTTAGTGTGAACAACAACTTTAGGGGCACCCCACACGTAAATGATTCATGTATAATTCAGCACTTTTGATTTGCACAACTATTTAGGTGTTCAAATTTCAAGCCTGTGATGGTTTTTGATAATAGCAGATTCTATCCAGAGCTACTGAGCTGACAGAACGTTGCAGGCGAAACTGGCTCATTTGTGGAGACTCTGTTCATGTTTCAACTTGTTTAGCGTTTGATCACAATTCCAGCAACTGAACTGTGAACTGTGGCAAATAAAAAAACTCTAATGCAGTTTTAATGATCCAAAGTCTGATGATAATATGTTGTGATAGCCGAACCAAATTGTGGCCAACATATCTTTTAAAGCCTCTAAAGCCTTTTGGAATCCATTGGCCGTCAGCCACGAAGGCATTGGATTGTTTGGTAGCAGAAGAGCAAGCAGTTGTGCATCACACTAACCTCGTACAGTCTTGATTTTCCACTTTGTTTATTGTAAAACCTGTGGTATCAATGCCTCTTCATAGCTACCACACTGTGTCTCCTGTCTCAGGGAGGGTCAAGTGTTTCAAGGAGGCAACACAGATTTGTAATTACAAAGGCAGAGAGCAATTTTTCACAGATCTTAGCCAGAGTGTAAAGAGAGTATCTATGTTTGGAATTGGAAATGTACATTGACTTGACCATTCATCAAAAAGTTAAACAGTATTAATAATCAGAAAAGGGCCAGGTTTGTCTGTCATAAGTATTTGACACTTCTGCCTTGTTTCAGGTGAGGAGGACGGTGAGTGGGAGAGCGGACTATCCTACGAGTGTCGAACGCTCCTGTTTAAGGCCATCCACAACCTGCTGGAACGCTGTCTCATGAACCGCGGCTTTGTTCGCATCGGCAAGTGGTTTGTCAAGCCATACCAGAAGGAAGAGAAGACCATAAATAAAAGGTATGTCCTGCTCCTAACAGGCAACAGAAAGGGAAGGGACATGGCAATATGTCTTACCTATCTGGTCACAAGTAACAGCTGATGTGGATTCTGTCTGAGTACATGGGAAATACCTCCACAGCCACTGGTTGTGTAGTTACAGCAACATGTGCATGCTGTAAGCTACTAGCTGTTTCTCTGCTTTTGTTTTTTAAAACAGTCTTTTACTCACACTAGACGTATTGTTCTTTTGTCAGCTTCTGTGAATGAATCCCCAGCACTTCCTGTAGTGGTGGTCAGTAAACAGGTTTCAATACCATCACCGGTATCATGCTATGCCACAACATGGATTTTTGCAGAACTGTTGTTACCAGTATAAACACGTGCATTTGATTGTCGATCATACACGAGCCGACACTGAAGCTATTGGTAGCTCAACCTACCAGCCACGGTAGCCGAGTGATTTATGACAGATAACAGCTCAGATTGAGACACGGTCACGGCATGTTTCACTCTTGACACTTAGCAGAGCCAGGCAGACCTACACACTCATTGACCAAACAGCACCGCCTCCACGTTGTGTCAGACGGGTTTCAGTGTTAACTGCATCTCCACTACAACAGGTCTGCCTGCTTAAAGGTGTGTTTTAACTTATGACTCGCTTGTCATAAGTCCAAGATGATTCAAAGAAATGTGGTGAGGCTGTGATTTTTGCTCAAAGCGACGGCTGTGAATTCACTGTTAACTCTCTACAGTGTTATTGATGATCTCTGATAAGTGTATCTCTGCTTAAGCTTGGTTAATTCGATGATAAACACAGTTCATTTCCTAAATGGACTTGAGCTTGTATAGTGCTTTTACACCGCAGGTCACTCCTACCCATTCACACACTGATGGCAGAGGTTGCTATGTCAAGTGACCATCAAAAGTAACTAATCCCATTCATACACATTCATACGCCACCTACGAAGCAGAGGGAGTAGCTTGGGGTTAAGTGTCTTGACCAAGGACACATCAGACATGTTGCTAGGGATCGAACCCTCGTCCTTCCAGTTGAGAGACGACAACTCTGCCAACTAAGCCACAGCCGCCTGTTTCCTACAAACCACAATAAAATGCCAT